GGTTGTTAGTTGGTGTAGTCCTAAAAGCACCGAGTGCTGATCTGACTGCGACGTATAGTGTTGTTTCTTAATCTGTTAGTAAGGGTGATTAGGGCAGGCAGTAGTCAAGTTTGGAGATGAGGATGGACTTAGTATTTGGATAAGGGAGGATGTGTTGGTGTTGTATTTAGGAGAGCAGAGGTGTTTTATAATGTTTAGGGGCTTGCAGAATTTAGTTTTTAATTTATTCATGTGCTAGGACCAGCTATATCTATTGTTTAGAGTGAGACCTAGGATAGTTGCGTTGTTGGTTTTTGGGATGTTTACGGGAGCCGGTACGAATTATGGATTTGCAATTATGTTTGCGACAGATGGTAGGCTTTGGCATTTTTCGACTGATAAGGAGGCACCTAAGTAGGAGCACCAGTGTTTTATTTTCTTGAAAGAGGGAAGTGAGATCTACTGTGGTGTTTTTATGACTTTTGTGCTGTATGATTAGGTGAAAATCGTCGACGTAAGAAGGGAATTTTTTTTAGGATTAGAATTATTTTTGTTAGGAAATAGTAGCAGATTCGAAAAGAATTACGGAAATGGGAGAATCTTTTGGGTTTCCGTTGCTGAGAAGAAAACTGTTGAACATATTTTGACCGTTTTTGATAATGCTTTTCCTATTGGTCTTGAAATTGGCTACATATTTGATGATTCGAGGACCTAGCTGCCATTCTTGGAGTTGTCGGATTATAGAGTGGACTCTTATTTTGTCAAACGCCTTGGAAAAGTCCAGGGAACAAATCTTATTGTTTTTACCCTTTTTAAATCCGAACTGGTTGTTGTGAATGAGTTTGTTTGTGGTAACAAACAAATCCTTTTGGGGATAATTTTGTCTATGACTTTGGCAAGACATGGGGTTAGGGAAATTGGTCTGTATGATTTAGGTTCGATTTGGGGTTTTTGAGGTTTGAGAAGATGGGATGGGAAGGATGAGGCTGAATTTGTAGGCTTGAGTGATGTGGAAATCTAGAATATTATTAAAGTGATCGAGAGTCCTGTTTTTAAAGGAGGGGGTGCGTTTTGGATCATAGAATAGAAGGTGCGGTCCATGCCAGGGATGGATCCATTTAGGGAGTTGAGGGCGGATAAAAATTCAATAAAGGAAATGTCTTTCTATTTGATTGTCTGATTGACAAGGATGGTAATTTATATAAGTATTTGTGAGAAGTTTGTTTGTCCTAAATGAATCGGAGAAGTTGATATCTTCAGCTTCTTTTAGGTCTGCGAAGGTGTTGGCTATTTCAGATGGGAATGTAGATGGGGTTTGGGTTAGTGAGTTGTGTATAGCATGGATATGTATGTTTGGTAGGGTAGAGGCCGCATAATCGTTTTATGTTTGGCCACATTTTTGATGGGTCGGATTTTGGAATAATTTCAGGGTAAAGTTGTGTAAGGAGGTTCTCTTGGCTAATTTTGTTGCTCTTCTGTACATAGCATTTGATTTTTTTAAAATCAAGAGCGGCTTCTTTGTTTACATTGCTGTTGCAGGTTTGTGCTAGGGAACTGAGAAAGACCCACTCTCCTGTTTGTGTGTGTAATGGCGACTCCCTTTCGACTGGTGGACAAATGCCTGATTTAGCTTTCCACAGTGGTTATCGTTTGGGTAGAATTGCTCCAAATAGGAAAATTGAAATAGATTTTTTTCATCTTCTAGGGGCTTTGCGTAGAAGGTAGTTGACTGTTTTAAGGCGCTCCTTCGAGGCAGGCGATTTATGGGCTCAACACTCCCTCCAAAGCATTCGCTTATTGCATAGCAGTCAGTTAATATGCCCAGATACCTGACTGCCGTTAAATGGATTATTTCCTGATATAATAGGGCTGGAGTGTTGTGCAGCTAGTGACATAACAGACACTAGTGCTTCAACTGAGCTGTCAATCTCTTCTTTAAAGTACATGTTTGGAAAGCCGTCAATATATCTGACAGTACTATCGAATATATTCTATTAGAACTTCCCAATAAATCCCATGGAAGAACCCTTCTAGGTTGCATATATAGACCGAATCGGACAATTGACTACGGGTCATTACTTAATGTTGTTTCAGACATTTCGTTGGAGTACACTGACATCATATTGGCAGGTGATTTTAACAGCAACCTATTGTCAGAAAGCCATTTCGTAGATAACTTTAAATCCCTAGGTTTGCCAGCAGCCACTGTGATACATTACTTGACTTATTTCTTATCAATGACCCTAGCAAAATCATACATTATGACCATGGTTTCTGTACCATCCTTCTTCAGACATGACCTAATATTTTTAACATACGACTTGACCTTTGACAGCACAATCAATTCTTTTACGTATAGAGATTACAAAAATATAAACTATAATGAATTGAAAACGGAATTTTTGTGTTGTGACTGGTCATGTATTTACCATCTTCGTCATGTAGATTGTCAATTAGAGGTTTTAACCAACAATGTCCAGTATTTGTTCAACAAGTTTGTGCCCCTAAGGACCAAGGTGATTAAACCAATGCAAAATCCATGGTTTAGTTGTGAAATTAAAAACCTAACCCGCGAGATGTAGCTTACCTCCGGTGGAAGCGATACAAACTGATGAATTTCGAAAACAATACAAAGAGGCTAGGGTAAAAGTAAACAAAAAGATAAAATCAGCAAAGAAAGAGCATTATAACATACAATTTAATAACTGTGTTAACTCAAAAAACAGATGGAACAAACTAAAACGGTTAGGTATTGGAAAGTGTAAGCAACAGACAGAGTCTGAGGTGGATGTCGAATTAATAAACAAAAAGTTTTTGGAAGCAGATGTACCTGAAGCAACATGCAATCCGTACCTGAATACTCAACCCCTCTGTGATAATAGTTTTAGCTTTATATGTATAAACCAAAGTGATGTTGTCTGATGCTGTTGGTCTCGATAATATGAGTCCAAAATTTGTTAAGCTTTTGCTCCCCTTAATGTTGCCCCATGTTACATATATTTTTAACACGGCTATTACAACGTCTTCATTTCCGTTAATATGGAAAAACGCCAAAATTTTCCCAATTCCTAAGCCAAACAATGACTATAGACCTATTTCAATATTACCTTTTCTATCAAAAGTCTTTGAAAACCTTATGTCCTCACAGATTCAACTATACTTAGCTAATAATTCTCTACTTGACGAAAAACAATCAGGATTCCGTAAGAAAAGGAGTTGTATTACTGCAATCACTTATATTGTAGAGGATATAAGACAAGAACTGGACAGTAACTGCGTACCAAGTTTAGGAATATGTTTAATTTCTCAACTAATGCGACGAAGCTTATTAGGTCGTACTTAACGAATAGGTTTCAAGCAGTCGTCTCTGGAACGCAAGTTTCTTCTCTCCGGAAGTGCCACAGGGATCTGTGCTAGGCCCTTTATTGTTTTCTATATATGTCAATGATCTCCCTAGTATCCTGTCTGAGTGTGAAGTTCATTTATATGCTGATGATGTCCAAATATATGTTAGTAGACCCGTAACTGAAATACATGACTGTGTCCGTATAAGTAATAAAATGTTGTGGCTAATTGAAAAATGCGCAAAGGAAAATGGCTTGGGTATAAATCCTAAAAAATCGAAGTGCTTGGTAATTGGTAAAAAGCAACTATCAACACTTTCACTCCAAAAATTATATATAAACCATACGCCAATAAGCTATGAAGTGAATGCAGTTAATCTAGGCATAACATTTAACAATACTTTATCATGGGGCAACCATATAGTCAAAGCGACAGGGCGTACATATGCTCTGCTGAGAAAATTTTCATTCTCCAAATCGTTCTTAACTGAGGAAGTTAGACTATTAATCGCCAAAGTTATCCTCCTGCCCACTCTCTTTTACGGTATAGAAATTTTTAGAAATTGTGATGCGCGGGATTTGCGTACATTAACTGTAGCTTTTAATTCAGTTGTCCGTTATGTGTTTAACTTAAGACGTTTTGACCATGTATCAGAGCTGACATATAAAATACTTGACCTTAACTTGACCTCCTGGATCGATCTCAGAATTTTAATCTTCTTTCACAAAATAGTGACGAGTGGAGAACCAAAATATCTTTTCAATAAACTTACCCCAGCCACATCTGTAAGAACCAAAAATTACATATGCCCATATCAAAAATAATAAAATAACAATTTCCGTCAACTTTTGTAAAGTGCCTCCAGCAAAAGCTTGTCTTTGTTGTTATTCTAGAATGAATACATTTGTAATTGCAAATAACTATATTTATATACATATATATTTCACATAATACTTACTTTGGCATTGCAAACACGGTAAACTAAAACAAAAACCGCGAATTTGTCTGTGCGGCACTGAAACCATATGTTCTGCAATGTTGTGCAACTCGACGCCCGATGTTTTGGTTAAACATCGATGCATCGATAAACATCAGCATAACATAAAACAAACACTGTGTTCGAGAAGGCAATTTTTCATAAATGGTATCCGGCTATGGAACAATCTACCGCACCAATACAAAAAAATTAGGAGCGCAACTCAATTTTACAATAAAGTTAAAGATCTTTTAAAATATGTTACGATGTAATGCTAATTTGGTAATTCAAACAACAGAGTTAAAATTCCTTAATTTTTCATAATTTCTCTGATGGAAAATCGCCCTTAAAACATAAATCTGAATCAGAAGTAATCTTTATATTTCTTGAAATCTTTGTACACTGTATGCTTAAATTTCGGTTTAAACCAATTTCATGAGGATATTTTATTGGATTTGTTATATCAATAAAACCGGTTTTTAAGTTTTATTATCTGCTCCTTATATGTTGTCAAATTTAAAATAAGTTATGGCAACCTTTGGAATGCTAATAAACATGTATATTTGTATACCCTTGCAGAGAGTATGATAATTTCAGTCAGAAGCTTGCAACGCAGTGAAGGAGACGTCTCTGACTCCATAAAGTATATATATTCTCTCTCAGCATCACTTGAGGAGTCGATCTAGCCATATCCGTCTGGCCGTTTCTACGCAAACTAGTCTCTTAGTTTTAAAGCTAACGCATGAAACCTTTCCAAAAGTCTTATTTCAATTGCAGGTAGTATAAAAGTCGAACCGAGCCGGATCGGATAAGTATGTCCTTTAGCTCCCATAGGAATGATAAAAAAACATATTTTAACTAAATGTAAAGAATGATAACTTCGGTGTTTTTGACATTAACTTCTACTCTTGCGAATTCATTTTTTTTAATATTTCAGAATTTCGAATACAATTTTTTAAAAACGACTATCATATAACTTCTATAGGAACGATCGAATTTTCGGTAAACATATACGGTAGTCAAAGTAAGCGGAAATGATCTGCAAGGTTTTAGAAACTTCGGCTTGCCGAAGTTAGCTTTCCTTCTTGTTTTTTCCTTAATGTGTTCCATTTATACTCACTGCTAGATTTCTTCCAAAATGTTTGCTCAAAAACAGTACATTCTCAAGTAGAGAATATAATTTCAGAACGTCAAAATGGTTTCTGAGTAGTAATTTTTCATTAATAAATTGAACATGGAATAGCAAAACTCCGTATGTATATCATAACATGAAGCGTTTTTATAACTTCTTTTAATTTCATCATTATAGGTTGCGCAATCGCCTAATAAATATTCTGGACTTGACGATGGAGGATCGGAATAAACAATTTATATGGTTCTTATTAACGAATAAAAATAAAGAAAGCGTATATAGTATAATATTAAAAATAAGTTGAAATTATTATTTAATCTTAAGAACAGGTAATTAATAGCTCAAAAGGGGTACCTCTTCGTGTCTCTGCAGAGTTTCGACGTCGATTTCTGGGCGTGAGAGTGGTTATGGCTTTAAACGTCAAAAATCAGGCCTACTTTCAAAATCACATCATACTCTAGTTCACAGATATAAAGTTTAAAGTTCGGAAGGAAATCCGAAATTAGGGCTAAACTGTTATGCATCCCATGTGTGAAGTGCAGTTCAAGTTATATTAGCTACAGCAATTGTAAAACTAGGATGGATTGTGCCGTGGAACAAAAACAGAGCTTATCAAAAATAAAAATGTTCAGAATGCGACTTTTAAATCCAAGACATTGTTCTTTTGGCTCTCTGGTAGGACATTGGGGCTTGAACAAATCCCAGGGAAACCGAAGGCCAAGAACAATAATCGGAAGTTCTTGTGTCGTGCGGTGGAACAGCGAATTTCAGTGCCACCATTCAACGACAAAAGCGCTTTCTCCACGGGATGTTCAATGAGTGAGTCACCCTACTTATATTATATAATTTTCTTATATGCTTAAAGAAAACCCCCGACCAGAATTTCAGACCAACTAACATAAACCGACTGGTCCAATTTAATTGAAATGCTAAAAATAAAAACAAAATTTAAAATTAAATCTATTTGAACGAAAATTGTAAAAGAGAAAAAAAATGAAGTAAACGAATTACAGTTAACAAATGAAAATTAATTGAAAGCAAACCAAATAAAGGAACCAGTAGAAAAATAAAATATAATACTTGGAGCCGTGGTTCGAATTAGCCGCAGGTAGAAAATGCACTCTACTTTGGTATTGCCGAAAGTAACGTCAATGGAATCCACTAGGTTCCACAGCGATGGCCGATGTATTTACGTTTCTCATACACACGGGTTACTCTCCTTTATATATATATATTAAATTTATGTAACAGAGAGTAGGCAAGCAGATCTAATAAAGGTACACTGGATAACAGCAGCAGAAGGCGAACAGCAGGATAACAGCAGCAGAAGTCGTACAGCAGAGTAACAGCAGAAGGAGCAGAAGAAGTACAAGTAGCAGCCGAACAGCAGAGTAAGCAAGAGAGAATTGAAGCAGCCGAACGTGTGTGAAAAGTCAGCAGAAAGCAGCAGCATTTATCCAGCAGTTTAACAAAAGCCAATTGTTCTACTCATTACCTGTGCACCGCGATATAATATTAATAAACAATATCCAATAATATCTTACATTTGGGGGCTCAACCAGTCGCGAACTGCCAGTGAAAAGTGAGAAAATGCGCAAGCCGTATGTCTCAAAAAAACAGTTTGGTGCCGCATAACTCAAAAGCCGCCAGAAAAGGAAACAAGACAACAACAGGGAGGAAAGAAGATCAGAAAGAGAAAACCGTATTTTTAAACAGGCTACCGGTAAAGGTATTGCGCAACAGAATTATGACAAATTAAAAGGAACCACCAGATGAGAAAATGGAAACATACGATGGCCCAAGTGGATCAGGGACAAGTGGAAACCAGGGAAACAAACCGAATCTTATTTCGGTTCCGTTCTGGTACCGGTCCCATACCGAAACGACTTATTCGGTAAACGATTCAATTTTGGTATTGATGTTTTGGTTCCGGTTGTGGTACCGGTACGTACCGGTACAGTTAAACAAATTTGAGTTAATTATGGCAATGAATACATTGAAATTATTTATGTTTTATTAAGAAAATAAAACTTTATTTGAAGGCACATTAATAATAGTTCAATGGATCCAAAATCATAGAGATGATTATACTTATAATGATAATAAATTTACGAAAAAACGTTAATTATTTGGAAAACATGTGATTGGTTCTCAAAAGCATGATTGCGTTTAAAGTTTTCATGTCTAAACGGTTTCTGAGCGGATTCATGATAAACTTAACGCTGGAAAATAACCTCCCTACGCTCACTTGCGTAGCAGGAACACATAGGGCCACTTGAGAAATTGTAAACAACTCTGGGAACTTTTCGGAAGATTCAGACCACCATTTAATAATGTCTGTTGACTTGGAAAGGCGCCTTTGTTTTAGAAAAATTTGTATTGATTCTAAAAGGCTGCATGTAGACATACATGAAGGTGAGCCTACAGATCTTGCTTCTTCCAATTTTAGGTATTTATCAACTTCGTCGAAGCTTTCTGAAAGGCTTGCTTCTAAACTTTTCTCAATAATTGATATTGAATTATTGGATATCGATAGAATTTGGAAGTAAATATTGGATAATAGACTAATACAAGTCTGTTTTTGATTTTTGCTTAGGGTAATATTGAATCTGGGATCTAAGAATATTCCACACAGAAATGCATCGTTTTCAAATAATAAAATTTCACGATCTTCCAGTTCTTTTAACAAAAATTTGGCCAACTTTGAGTTATTTTTCTGCACGAGTAGCTTACAACTAATCCAAGTGTGGTAAAAGTCTCCGAAAACCAAATTTTGGCTTTGAAGTTTTGATGTGACAACCTCAGCTGGCTCTAATAGGCTTACAATTTCGCGAATTGAATCCCAAACTTTTTGATCCAAATATAAATGGTATACTGCATCTTCTACAAAATACGCTAACATTTTGTCGGACGAGCTCCAACGCGTAGGACAATCAATGGGCGGTTTTCTTAGATTTTTCTCCTTCATAATGTAAGACATGGTTGGTGTTCGCAATTTTTTGACCAAGTTCCTGGCAAAACCAATTGTTTTCGAACAATTTTTGTCTTTAAGTACTGCATTGACCGCCAACTGAAGAGTATGTGCTGCACAACGAACACCTAAAATTAAGTAAATAATAAAATGTTAAGTATATAAGCCGCTTATAAATATTTTGTAGTTTCAGACTTATGCACTTATTTTCCAAAACAACGTCATTCATAAAAGACAAGTCGTTGTCGACGTCGGTTTCATTCTCGTATGAAGAGTCGTCGTACAACTCCTCCGGAATGTTTTCGTTACTTAGAAGTTCCACAAACTTGACCATATTCCGTCCATTATCAGTGGTGCAAGAATAAATTTGCTGGGAGCTGATCTCGAATCGATTTAAAACAAAAAGGATGGTGTCTTTTAAATTTGCAGCCATAATGGCAGGCAAACATTTCTTCAGTTGCCAATGTGCGCAGGACAAGATGTCCATCAGAAATAAATTGTATGTTTACTCCTAAATTGCACAATAACTTGTGAAAGCATTATATTTTTATAAGATTTTTTTCTTAGGCATACACACCAATAAACGATCGATTCAGATGAGTCAAGCCGTCGATTTTAAGTGCGATCATTTTTCCTTTAGTTTCTTCTTTTATTTTTTCGACGACCTTCTCTGATTTGGCTACAACATCATCACGGACGTTTTGAGGATTAATAAAGTTTTCACATCCTAATCCTTCAATTAACGGATTCAGAATCCGCCTAAATCCGATGTCGTTCATTAAAGAAAATGGTCTTCCATCAACTGTGCACAGCAAAGCACATGCATTTTGTATATCCTCCCTTGTAATGGACACACGGACAATTGGTTTTATGAAATCCTTAATCGTTTTAGCAGGCACACTATTTTTCTTAGTAATTGTTTGGTTGCTACTCGTTTGCTCCTCAGTTTCAATTATCAATGTGTTATGAGATCGCTTTATGTGCTTCGACAAATTAGTTCCATGATTACCCTATAAAATGCATACGGATTATGTGCATACATACATATATATGTAAGTAAGTAAGCAGTTAATTTTTATACTTACTTTAATTTGATGCCCACAATTCACATCATCTTTTTTGATTAGGCACGTGCTCGTGTTTGATAAAATGTCAAAGGAGAAATACTTTCGGTGAGGATTCGATTTTGGTCGAGGCATTTTTCACTTTCTTTACTTTTCTTCACTTTTCTTAGCTGCTTCACATGAAATTCTGTTTAAATTCTAGAATGAAGCTTGATGAAAGGAGACGGCTAAGGTAGTCGTTGAGACTAGTTATCTCTTTTCTCCATATATAATAAAAACCCGCTTAGAAATGCGCCAAAAATTCCGGATTTACAACCTGCTCAGACATTTTCTTTCATAAGAAGCACAAATGCTAATAAGAGACAGGGAAAAAGCGCCCCGGCAAAAAGTGGGACCTCATATGCAGATTTCAGTATTTTTATTATGGATTTTTTATGAATCTAGTAAAGTACCAAAACCGTACCGGTACCAGCAATACGGTAATCAGTTCTAAATTTAATTTTGGTTTCGGTACCGGTTCCGGTTCTCTTTTAGATATCGGTTTATTTCGGTTATCGGTTCCGGTTCCGGTTCTGGTTTTATTCCCTGGTGGAAACAATCGCCGAAACGACACAAACGTCTTAGAAGAAAACACACAGACGCTCCAAGATCTGGTTAAATTTCTAACGTTAAAAATTAGCGCCGATGAAATTGACAAAAAAAATGATGCGAAGCTGGTAGTGGAAAATTTTGCGAAAATAATTCCTTAGTTTAGTGGAGAAAATATGTCAGTGCAGCAGTGGTTTAATAACTTCGAAATAAACGCTGAAGCATATGGGCTAAACGACAAACAGAAATACGTACAAGCTCGTGCCAAAATGACATGTACAGCCGCTCTATTCCTGGAGTCTACAGAAGTGTACGAGTACAGCCAGCTGCGTCACCAACTTACAACGGAATTCGAGTGCGATCGTTTATGCAGTCCCCAAATTCACAATAAGCTGTCTGTGCGAGTGAAAGCAAGCAATGAAAGCTTTCACGAGTACATGCTAAAGATGAAACGCATCGCTGCTCGTGGGACATTGGGCACGGAGTCGGTAATTCGGTACATTGTCGACGGAGTGGTTCTTAAAACGGATTACTAGTACACCCTGTATGGATGCAGTTCTTACAAGCAGCTAAAAGAGAAATACGAAATCTTCGAACGAACGCGTCAGATCGATGAGAATCTGATGGTGAAGAAGAAAGAATCACAGCCGCTCGCAAGGAAGCCCGAGCACAACAGCTATCTGAGGAAACAGCACTGCTACAATTGTGGATCCCCAGGACATTTACGCAGGGATTGCCGAGATGCATTAAAGTGCTTCCGCTGCAATCAGAGAGGTCACATGTCGAAAGGTTGCCCGGGTACCTCTGCCGTAAACGTAGCATACGAGGAAAAACGCCTTAAGTCTCTCAAAATCAACGATGTGCAAGTCAAGGGTCTCATATGCACAGGGTCAGATGTTACCCTATTATAAATGTCCGTGTTTGAGAAAATGGGTAGCGTCTTCTTGCAGCCAAGCTGTGCAACTTTAAGAGGACTTGGAAACAACATCACACGCTCCGCTGGTCAGTTTATGACAGAAGTGGAGATCGACGGAATGTGTCTGGCACACAAGATTCTTGTGGTGGCCAATCATGCCATCGGATGCGATTTGCTGGGATATAACTTTATATCCAAATTCACAATGAGGTGAACGCCGGAAGGATATCAGTTTTCTCCCCTGAATGAAGAGGAAACTGTGAACACGAACAAGTTAAGTATCTACAATGTGGTTGAAGCAAATACCGATATAAATGTCCCGACACAGTACAGTCCAATCGATGATTGAAGAATTT